TTCACCCGAGTGTCCGAGACACGCGGTCGAAGGTCAGATGATACGACAACAAAGTCGATCATCGACCTCCGGCCTAGGGTGTCCTGGTGCCACGTGCACTGATGGACACCCTTGTGCTCGAACATGGTGTTCGTGATGGACAGGCCGTGACTGGCACAGAAGTCCAACAACTGAACACCGCTCGGGTTCAGATCAGGGGGGCCGTTCTTCCCGATCACCCCTCTCCAAGTGTCACTGGCATTTCCCACATGGGCGTTGAAGTCCCCCAGGAGAATAACGGAGTCCCCGGGCGGTGCACTATCCAGTACCCCTCCCAAGGACTCCAAGAAGGCCGGGTACTCTGCACTACCGTTAGGCCCGTAGGCCGTCACAACAGTCAGAGACTTGTCCCCCACCCGGAGGCGGAGGGACGCGACCCTCTCATTCACCGGGGAGAACTCCAACACGTGGCGGCTGAGATGGGGGGCAATGAGAATGGCCACCCCCGCTCGCCGCCTCTCCCCGCGGGAAACTCCAGAAAAGTGGAGCGTCCAACCCCTCTCAAGAAGTTGGGTTCCAGAGCCCAAGCTGTGTGTGGAGGAGAGGCCGACTATCTCTAGTCGGTATCGCTCAACCTCCCCCACAAGCTCGGGCTCCTTCCCCCCCAGTGAGGTGACGTTCCACGTCCCAAGAGCCAGATGCTGGGTGTGTGGACTGGGTCGTCGAGGTCTCCGCCTTCGACTGCTACCCAGTCCTCGCTGCACCACGCCACCACGGACCCCTCTGCAGGTGGTGGGCCCACAGGAGGGACTGCCCACGTCGTCCCTTCGGGCTGAGCCCGGCCGGGCCCCGTGGGCTAAGGCCCGGCCATGGTCACGGCATCCACGTGCAAATCCATATCCATGTATTATCCATATTGGGAGACGCTAGCTCCGTCCCAACAGTGAGTGTGTGTGGGGGGCGATAGCTTCGTGGGTGCGGGGAGGGGAGCAGAAAGAGAGAGGCCAGCGAGTCCGCGGCTTCAAAATCCCAAAGTCAGTTAGTGCAGCTTTAACGGGAAAATGAGGAGCCGGTGTCACAGAAAGACTGTCAGAGTGTGTTGAAAAGAACTTTACAAATGATCAGATTCAGTGTTTCTCTGATCTATATCCTCATGTTTGTATACGTAGATTGTTGGATAGTCTAAGCAGGTCATTGACTGTGGACAGTGTTAAACCGAAAACTGTTTTTTCTCCAGCTCGCTTTAGCTGCCATTCCATTTCTTTTACTATTTGTGTCACAATCAATTCAATTCATTTTTGCACAGCCCGAAATCACAACATTGGACGTCTCAGAGGACTTTAAATCGACAACTTTGTAGAGAATCAGACAGACAGTTTGAAAGATTGATACGAGATTGATACGAGATAGATCCCTGTTGGAGAAATTCAGGAACACAGGAAATGCAGTAATAACAAACACATAGGAGTGGGGTGACCATTGCCCTCTCGCATTTAGGAATCTCATTTGTAAAATCTCTAGCTTTAGCATCTTAAAGAACCTCTAGAGACAGATGAGTATGATATGTCCTGGTGCAGCCTTAGAGCCTTTTATCCTCAATGTTTTTCCCACTTTCATTCAGTCGTTCCATCTATATGTGCTCATCTAGTTATGAGTTATGGCTTCAAAGTTGTAGTTAGCAATTTTGTTAGCTTAGCCGTAGCACCAACTGGAAACCAGTACCCCTCCCCTCCCTCGCCCACCAAAAGACCCCCCCCCCCCTCCCTCTCCACTAAACCACTCCCCCCTCCCCTCCCTCTCCACCAAAAGACTCCCCCCTCCCCTCCCTCTCCACTAAACCACTCCCCCCTCCCCTCCCTCTCCACCAAAAGACCCCCCCTCCTCTCCCTCTCCACCAAAAGACCCCCCCTCCCCTCCCTCTCCACCAAAAGACTCCCCCCTCCCCTCCCTCTCCACCAAAAGACCCCCCCTCTTCTCCCGCTCCACCAAACCACTCCCCCCTCCCCTCCCTCTCCACAAAACCACTCCCCCCTCCCCTCCCTCGCCACCAAAAGACTCCCCCCCTCCCCTCCCTCGCCACCAAAAGACCCCCCTCCTCTCCCTCTCCCCCAAACCACTCCCCCTCCCCTCCCTCTCCACCAAAAGACTCCCCCCTCCCTTCCCCACTAAACCACTCCCCCCTCCCTTCCCTCTCCACCAAAAGACTCCCCCCTCCCCTCCCTCGCCACCAAAAGACCCCCCCCCTCCTCTCCCTCTCCCCCAAACCACTCCCCCTCCCCTCCCTCTCCACCAAAAGACTCCCCCCTCCCTTCCCCACTAAACCACTCCCCCCTCCCTTCCCTCTCCACCAAAAGACTCCCCCCTCCCCTCCCTCTCCACCAAACCACTCCCCCCTCCCCTCCCTCTCCACCAAACCACTCCCCCCTCCCCTCCCTCTCCACTAAACCACTCCCCCCTCCCCTCTCCACCAAACCACTCCCCCCTCCCCTCCCTCTCCACCAAAAGACCCCCCCTCCTCTCCCTCTCCACCAAACCACTCCCCCCTCCCCTCCCTCGCCACCAAAAGACCCCCCCTCCCCTCCCTCTCCAAACCACTCGCCCTCCCCTCCCTCTCCACTAAACCACTCCCCCCTCCCCTCTCCTCTCCCCCAAACCACTCCCCCCTCCCCCCCCTCTCCACCAAACCACTCCCCCCTCCCCCCCCTCTCCACCAAACCACTCCCCCCTCAACTCCCTCTCCACCAAAAGACCCCCCCTCCCCTCCCTCTCCACTAAACCACTCCCCCTCAACTCCCTCTCCACCAAAAGACCCCCCCTCCCCTCCCTCTCCACCAAACCACTCCCCCCTCCCCTCCCTCTCCACCAAACCACTCCCCCCTCCCCTCCCTCTCCACCAAACCACTCCCCCCTCCCCTCCCTCTCCACCAAACCACTCCCCCTCCCCTCCCTCTCCACCAAAAGACTCCCCCCTCCCCTCCCTCTCCACCAAACCACTCCCCCCTCCCCTCCCTCTCCACCAAACCACTCCCCCTCCCCTCCCTCGCCACCAAAAGACTCCCCCCCTCCCCTCCCTCTCCACCAAAAGACTCCCCCCTCCCCTCCCTCGCCACCAAAAGACTCCCCCCCTCCCCTCCCTCTCCACCAAAAGACCCCCCCCTCCCCTCCCTCTCCACCAAACCACTCCCCCCTCCCCCCCCTCTCCACCAAAAGACCCCCCCTCCCCTCCCTCTCCACTAAACCACTCCCCCCTCTCCACTAAACCACTCCCCCCTCCCCTCTCCTCTCCCCCAAACCACTCGCCCTCCCCTCCCTCTCCACTAAACCACTCCCCCCTCCCCTCTCCTCTCCCCCAAACCACTCCCCCTCCCCTCCCTCTCCACCAAACCACTCCCCCCTCCCCCCCCTCTCCACCAAACCACTCCCCCCCCCCCCTCTCCACCAAAAGACTCCCCCCTCCCTTCCCTCTCCACCAAAAGACTCCCCCCTCCCCTCCCTCTCCACTAAACCACTCCCCCCTCTCCACTAAACCACTCCCCCTCCCCTCCCTCTCCACTAAACCACTCCCCCCTCCCCTCCCTCTCCACTAAACCACTCCCCCCTCTCCCCCAAACCACTCCCCCTCCCCTCCCGCTCCACCAAACCACTCCCCCCTTCCCTCCCTCTCCACCAAACCACTCCCCCCTCCCCTCTCCTCTCCCCCAAACCACTCCCCCTCCCCTCCCTCTCCACCAAACCAAACATCCAGCATTTTCTTTCCTTTGTCACAGGGAGAGTGAAGCAAACGTGAAATTGTCATTTTCTGTTCAGCCATTTTAGGTTTTAGTAAATCTGATAACTCCGGTGCATTCTGAGAAACAGGAAGAGGGTGAAGGGGGTAAACACATCCCATTGGTTCGCTCCAAAAAATAGTTTATTGATTTTTGGAGACTAATAAATAAAGTGGGTTATTGTGACTCTACTAATCAACTTTTTATAAGACATAACATGCAAAAATATATGGACAGAGTCAAGTTAAAAATTCTAGAAATCTTATTCAGAGTTATAAAAAACAAAGATTTTCCTGCAGGTATATTTTTTCTTCAAAATAAGAGAAAGTCGCTTTAATCTGAGAGGTTTGCTTCAGTTGGAAACAAGAAAATCCAGAACAAACATTAAAAATATATGTGTGTCATTGGAGTAAAAATGTGGAATGATCTTAATGACCAGCTTAAAGAGCGACTAAACACCTGTGCCCAGCCTTACTCCGCCCACATGAAGATTTGAAAATGTTCTCTAAAAAGGGCGTTGCCTGGAGGACCAAGGGACAAGAAGGGGGGCTTAGAGTTGGGCGTGGTCTGGGCTGTGATTGACAGCTCACTTGTCACACAAAAAAAACAGACAGTTGTCATTGCTGATTAAAGCAATAGTTTACAGACCAGAAAGTCTCATTCCACCCTTGTTTACACACTAAGATAATTGTAGAGCTACACACCTGAACCTAATCACACTCAATAATCTCAGAATTACTCATGTAATTTAATTTTAATCCACTAGATGGCGCCAGAATACTCCAAACTGCAGCTGGGGCGTGTGTGAGAGTTGAATGGGTTCACATCACTGGCTCTGACAGACTGACGTCACACAAAACAACTGATGTCATAGAGAACTTCAGAGCCAATGGAGAGGCCAGGACCAAATTCAAATGTAGTACCACCAAAAAGGTTGAGAGGGCGCCACACAGCGTTTTTTGGCTCAAAAGTGATATTTTATCTAATTTGAACTAAAATGTCAAAAAAATGACTAGGATATGTAGAGCACTACAATAAACATACTTATGGAGTTTATGAGTTGAAAAAAGTTGATTTGGCGTTTAGTCGCTCTTTAAGTTAATTAATACATTATCAATATTTTTGTTTACATTCCATTACTATTTGAAAACAGACAATGCCTTGATACTTTTAGGGTTTATGGACGTTTTCCCACAATATTTAAAAAAAAATGCGTCTGGAAAGAATCACTGCATCTTTAACTGTGTGTTTTAGCTCCGGAGGCCCAGCTGGAACGTGCTTTTCCTGCGACCTGGGTGACGGAGGGAGAGCGTCTGACCCTGCAGTGCTCGTTCTCCTGCCCCCTGCTGGCCTTCCAACAGAACGTCACCTGGTTCAGAGACGGTACACGCTGCTCTATCACGGTCCCAAACAGGCCGATGGATTCATTATTATTGTGTATTATTTTGGGCAGGGGTGCAGTTGGAGCCATCTAAAACTCTGGACACAAAGACGGGCAGCGAAGGGGCCACGCTGACCCTGGAGCCGGTGCACAAGGAGCACGAAGGGTTCTACACAGTTCAGCTCAAGACCCGGACTGGGACCAAAGAACACACTGCTTTTGTCTACGTCAAAGGTCAGTGCGCACTTTTAAAGCCACTCTGTGTAATCTTTACAGTTTCTCCAAGTGAAAAAACATGTTAACCAAAAACAAATCTGATCTTTTTAAGAATATTCACCTCCACCGTGTTTTTGAATTGTTGTCAAAGGCTTAGAATTTGACGTATAAATGTCCATGAGGCTGAGGACTCTCTGTGTCAAAGCTCCATCTTGGAATACAGTGGCTGATAAGGGACAAAAAGCAGTTTGAGCGGGAGTTGGGGACCACTGTCAAAGACCACATATTGTCCTGTGAAGCCACTGTAGAACCTTAAATTACAATATATGATTTCAACACTAGATGGGAGTAAAAACTACACTCTGTACCTTTCTGTAGCACTTTGAGGTTTCGTGGAAGGTAGAGGAGTTTGCATGTTCTCCCCGTGTCTGCGTAGGTTTCCTCCAGGTAATCCAGTTTCCCAACAACTAAAAACATGCACAATCGGTCTCAATGTAATGAGTGAGTGAGTGGTGTTTGGTCGGAGACTTTGATGGGCCAGTGTGTTCGGAGTCTCGCTTCTAAATGAACATGACTTGCTTATATTTGAAAGATTAGAAAAGGAAGAGGTTGTCTTTGTGATAGAAATGCGTTTTCCACAAGATTATTATTTTGATCTTCTACCGTTTTTCAGCTGCATCTAGTTTTCACTTTTGCATTTTAATGAGGTCTAAGTTGATCAAATATTGGATTACACCTCATATTTTTATCCGTACAAACATATTTGTGAATACCTTTAATGATTACAATGATAGGATTTTTCTCTATGGAGTTGGAAACTAGCCCGGTCTTACCACACCATTGTACTCCTTTCATTTCGTATCAAGGTCAGGATTTGCCTCATTGAGTTCCGTTAACAAAACTTAACCTACGCAGACACGGGGAGAACATGCAAACACCACGCAGAAAGGCCTGGAGGTGGAATCAAACCCAGCACAAGAAGGTTGAATGTCTGCGCAGCTTGAAATGATTCGAGAAAACACAGAAAGGAGAATAATAATCATAATTCATTCAACCCAATCCACTTTATTTATATGGCACATTTCATGGACACAGTTTGCAAAGTGCCGCACAATAAAAGACTGTCAAATGAAGCGTAAAAACATAAAAAATCAAATCCAGCATCCAGGGCCAAACCGTGGGAGACTCAGATTCGGTCAAAAACACAGACGTCCAGAGAAATATCTAATAAACCTTCAATAAAAGCAACGTTTTGAAAGACGTCATGACAACGGTGACGGACGCCCGCTCCACACCTGACCTTAAACAGCACATTCTTGTTTATCAATCGTCCGCAGACCGAATAAATGGTGTTTTCGTGGCGTCTCTGTGCGAAAAGGCTGTTTGGGTTCGACAGATTTGGGTTGTTCTCTCGTTTCCTGTCAGCGCGCTCTTCTGATTTATATGCGGAATTGTACCATCAATCACAGAGTCCCGCAGTGGAGAGCTTGTTAGCTTTCTTCAACGAGACCATATATTCTTCATTCTGCTCTGAATGCGAATCAGGCCCAGAGCAATCCCACTTGACTCATCAGCGTCTGGAATGCGGCGCTCTGGACAGCTGCGTAAGGCTATAGTATCAATATGCACCGGCGTGAAAGATATATTACCCACATGGTATTATGCTCCACATGATGGTTACTGCCAATCCAGCAGTTTAGAGGCGTCTGGTGTTATCATGAGCAGTCACTCAGGAACCAGGTGTGAAGGTGGTGCTAGACTTATCTCCTTGGTCTCTCTCCCTGGTCTCTCTTTCTGGTCTCTGTGGTCCCTCTGGTCTCTCTCTGTTTCTCTTTCTCTGGTCTCTCTGGTATCTCTCACTGGTCCCTCTCTGGTCTCTCTCACTGGTCCCTCTTTGGTGTCTCTCTTCTCTCTCTCTGGTCTCTCTCTCTGGACTCTCTCTCTCTGGTCTCACTCTGGTCTCTCTCTCTTCAATCTCTCTTTTCTCTCTCTATGGTCTCTCTTCTATCTCTCTCTTCTCTCTCTCTCTGGTCTCTCTCTGGTCTCTCTCTTCTCTCTCTGGTCTCTCTCTGGTCTCTCTCTTCTCTCTCTGGTCTCTCTCTCTCTCTCTCTCTCTGGTCTTTCTCTGGTCTCTCCCTTCTCTCTCTCTCTGGTCTCTCTCTTCTCTCTTCTCTCTGGTCTCTCTCTGGTCTCTCTCTTCTCTCTCTGGTCTCTCCTTTCTCTCTCTCTGGTCTCTCTCTGGTCTCTCCCTTCTCTCTCTCTCTGGTCTCTCTCTGGTCTCTCTCTTCTCTCTCTCTGGTCTCTCCCTTCTCTCTCTCTCTCTGGTCTCTCTCTTCTCTCTCTCTCTGGTCTCTCTCTGGTCTCTCCCTTCTCTCTCTCTCTGGTCTCTCTCTGGTCTCTCCCTTCTCTCTCTCTCTTCTCTCTCTCTCTGGTCTCTCTCTTCTCTCTTCTCTCTGGTCTCTCTCTGGTCTCTCTCTTCTCTCTCTGGTCTCTCCTTTCTCTCTCTCTGGTCTCTCTCTCTGGTCTCTCTCTTCTCTCTCTCTGGTCTCTCTCTTCTCTCTCTGGTCTCTCCTTTCTCTCTCTCTGGTCTCTCTCTCTGGTCTCTCTCTTCTCTCTCTCTGGTCTCTCCCTTCTCTCTCTCTCTGGTCTCTCTCTTCTCTCTGGTCTCTCTCTGGTCTCTCTCTTCTCTCTCTGGTCTCTCCTTTCTCTCTCTCTGGTCTCTCTCTGGTCTCTCCCTTCTCTCTCTCTCTGGTCTCTCTCTGGTCTCTCTCTTCTCTCTCTCTGGTCTCTCCCTTCTCTCTCTCTCTGGTCTCTCTCTTCTCTCTCTCTCTGGTCTCTCTCTGGTCTCTCCCTTCTCTCTCTCTCTGGTCTCTCTCTGGTCTCTCTCTGGTCTCTCCCTTCTCTCTCTCTCTTCTCTCTCTCTGGTCTCTCCCTTCTCTCTCTCTCTGGTCTCTCTGGACTCTGCACTGACATGAAAGATATATTACCCACATGGTATTATGCTCCACATGATGGTTACTGTGAATCCAGCAGTTTAGAGGCGTCTGGTGTTATCATGAGCAGTCACTCAGGAACCAGGTGTGAACAGAGAGATGTCATTTTCATAAAAGAATAATGACAACACTCTCTTTATTTGTGTAGCACTTTTAAAAACAGTGTTTACAAAGCACTGCACGGTAAGAATAAGGCAGTATAAACAGTAAAAACAGTCAGCTCAAGAATAAATACAGCAGAATAAAGCAGAAAAAGTGGGAGAGTAAAATAAATATGTCAAGTTTAAAACTGCCAGATAAAAGCTGTTCGATTGAAGAGGATTTTGGAAAGGGATTTAAAAGAGGTACTGATGTTACAAGCCTTATCTACTTGGTCTCTCTCTGGTCTCTCTCTGGTCTCTCTCTCTGGGTTCTCTCTGGTCTCTCTCTAGTCTCTCTCTGGGTTCTCTCTGGTTTATCTCTGGTCTCTCTCTAGTCTCTCTCTCTGGTCTCTCTGGTCCCTCTCTGGTCTCTCTCACTGGTCCCTCTTTGATCTCTCGCTTGTCTCTCTTTCTGGTCCGTCTCACTGGTCTCTCTCGCTCTAATCTCTCTGGTCTCTCTATGGTCTCTCTCTGGTTTCTATCTGGTCTCTCTATGGTCTCTCTATGGTCTCTCTCTGGTTTCTCTCTGGTCTCTCTATGGTCTCTCTATGGTCTCTCTCTGGTCTCTCTCTCTCTCTCTGGTCTCTCTGGTCTCTCTGGACTCTCTCCCTAGTCTCTCTCTCTGAACCTTCTCTGGTCTCTCTCTGGTCTCTCTGGACTCTCTCCCTAGTCTCTCTCTCTGGTCTCTTTCTGGTCTCTCTCTGGTCTCTCTATGGTCTCTCTCCTTGGGCAGGTTGTTCCAAAGCCGAGGAGCCCGGACCGAGAAGGCTGAGGAGTTGAGCAAAGGAACGTCTCAAAAACCCAGTGGGAAAAAAGTCCCACAATGAGAGAGGAATCCGCTCTCATGGATTGGCCCTGGATATCATGGATTGGCCCTGGATATCATGGATTGGCCCTGGATATCATGGATTGGCCCTGGATATCATGGATTGGCCCTGGATCTCATGGATTGGCCCTGGATCTCATGGATTGGCCCTGGATATCATGGATTGGCCCTGGATCTCATGGATTGGCCCTGGATCTCATGGATTGGCCCTGGATATCATGGATTGGCCCTGGATCTCATGGATTGGCCCTGGATCTCATGGATTGGCCCTGGATATCATGGATTGGCCCTGGATCTCATGGATTGGCCCTGGATCTCATGAATTGGCCCTGGATATCATGGATTGGCCCTGGATCTCATGGATTGGCCCTGGATCTCATGAATTGGCCCTGGATATCATGGATTGGCCCTGGATATCATGGATTGGCCCTGGATCTCATGAATTGGCCCTGGATCTCATGAATTGGCCCTGGATATCATGGATTGGCCCTGGATATCATGGATTGGCCCTGGATATCATGGATTGGCCCTGGATATCATGGATTGGCCCTGGATCTCATGAATTGGCCCTGGATATCATGGATTGGCCCTGGATCTCATGAATTGGCCCTGGATCTCATGAATTGGCCCTGGATATCATGGATTGGCCCTGGATATCATGGATTGGCCCTGGATCTCATGAATTGGCCCTGGATCTCATGAATTGGCCCTGGATATCATGGATTGGCCCTGGATATCATGGATTGGCCCTGGATATCATGGATTGGCCCTGGATATCATGGATTGGCCCTGGATCTCATGAATTGGCCCTGGATATCATGGATTGGCCCTGGATCTCATGAATTGGCCCTGGATCTCATGAATTGGCCCTGGATATCATGGATTGGCCCTGGATATCATGGATTGGCCCTGGATATCATGGATTGGCCCTGGATATCATGGTTTGGCCCTGGATATCATGGATTGGCCCTGGATCTCATGGATTGGCCCTGGATCTCATGGATTGGCCCTGGATATCATGGATTGGCCCTGGATATCATGGATTGGCCCTGGATATCATGGATTGGCCCTGGATATCATGGATTGGCCCTGGATCTCATGGATTGGCCCTGGATCTCATGGATTGGCCCTGGATATCATGGATTGGCCCTGGATATCATGGATTGGCCCTGGATATCATGGATTGGCCCTGGATATCATGGATTGGCCCTGGATCTCATGGATTGGCCCTGGATCTCATGGATTGGCCCTGGATATCATGGATTGGCCCTGGATATCATGGATTGGCCCTGGATATCATGGATTGGCCCTGGATATCATGGATTGGCCCTGGATATCATGGATTGGCCCTGGATATCATGGTTTGGCCCTGGATATCATGGATTGGCCCTGGATCTCATGGATTGGCCCTGGATCTCATGGATTGGCCCTGGATATCATGGATTGGCCCTGGATATCATGGATTGGCCCTGGATATCATGGATTGGCCCTGGATATCATGGATTGGCCCTGGATCTCATGGATTGGCCCTGGATCTCATGGATTGGCCCTGGATATCATGGATTGGCCCTGGATATCATGGATTGGCCCTGGATATCATGGATTGGCCCTGGATATCATGGATTGGCCCTGGATCTCATGGATTGGCCCTGGATCTCATGGATTGGCCCTGGATATCATGGATTGGCCCTGGATATCATGGATTGGCCCTGGATATCATGGATTGGCCCTGGATCTCATGGATTGGCCCTGGATCTCATGGATTGGCCCTGGATATCATGGATTGGCCCTGGATGTGCACATGCTCGACCACATGTGCATAGAATAGTAAAATATAAAATAAATACATTATAATACTGTGTTATTCATATTAACAGTTGTATTATTATTAGCATGTGTTATTATCATTAAACATGTGTCAAATAATGTCATTGCAGATGTCGTTTTAGCCAAATGTAGATTCTGGCGCTAAAAAACCTTATCAGAGCACTTAGAGTACATACCACATACAGTCTCTTTAATTTATTCATTAGAAAGTTTCATAAAATCAGTGGAGCAGAAAATGTGTTTAATTCCTGAAACAAGAAACCAAAGCTGACTTTAGATCAAACTTGTTTATTCCAGTTCCAAATACAGCTTAATCATCCATGTTGCAGTGGGATGGGTCCTGAATGTAAATGAGAATGATTCCAGATATCGTTACACAGCGACTGTTCATGTGTTTGCCTTTGCTCTGTGCAGATGCAGCTGCTGTGGTGCCGGAGGGTCCAGCCTCCCCTCTCTCTGTTCAAGTGTCTGATGTCAATAAGGATTATGTCTTTCTTACCTGGCAACCGCCCAGTGCTGACGGAGGATCACCGGTGGAGGGCTACTACGTGGAGAGGTGCGCTCACAAAGTACAGACACTGAAAATGTAGGTTTATATTTTCATTTAATTTTTATATTCAAGCCGGAGCAAGAGGAATAGCAAAGATGTTGTGGCTCTTACAAGGTGGCTAAAGCTAGGCTAAATGCTAAATGCTAGGCGAATTATCTGTAAACGTTTTCATGACAAAAACATCGCAAAAAACCCACAAGTAACTATTAACATGAGACGAACATTTTAAGAACATTTGAAGAGGATCTGATGGATTTAGGTTTGGTTTATAAATGGGTCACTGCTGATGTTCAGAATTCTTTGTTCAGTTTTCATGTAGTTCCAGAGAGTTCTAGTTAGTTAGCTAGCGTAGCTGTTAATAGCATAGCTGTTACTAGCATAGCTATTACTAGCCTAGCCACGTCACTAACTATTTTATAAATATCATTTAAAAAAGATAAGGCCCATTCCAGCTTCGAATATTAAGGCCTGTCTAAAATTTGTTCGAATATATATATATTTGTTAATATTCTAATTATATTAGAATTTCAAATTTTGAAGTCAAAGCCCTAATGTAGACAGTAAGTAAGTAAGTAATCTTTATTTATATACCGCCTTTCATAGACCAAAGTCTCAAAGCGGTTTACAATTGTTATTTTTGGACATTTGTCTCTCGCTCCACACAGAGATGGGAGCGGGGTCGGCGAGCAGGAGGCGCATGCCAGACAGAGGCTTCTCGACCTATCACGGCCGAGCATGAACCGCAAAGCCTTCTGGGAAATGCAAAAACAACAACCGCACCATGTGTAGCGTCCAAGGATCATGGATCTATTATAATAGCCGTAGATCTAAAGATCGTGTTTCAGTGTCGCGTCAATGGTTATGAACGTTCGTGGGAGGAACAGCATGTGCGGCGGGAGAAGCAGAGAGTCCATGCAACTTTTTCCTCTGGAAGCACGTGCGGCTATCAGAGAGCTATCAGAGAGCTATCAGAGAGCTATCAGAGAGCTATCAAAGAGCCGCACGGAGCCGTTACAGGGAAACAAGACACTCGAAAACAGCCAAACAGGAGCTAAACCAGGACTAAACCAGGACTAAACCAGGACTAAACCAGGACTAAACCAGGACTAAACCAGGACTAAACCAGGACTAAACCAGGACTAAACCAGGACTAACAATGGGGGACACCGTGCTTGTGAACATATTCCTCCAGCTTCATTCCCCGTGACTGTAAACAGAGCTGCTAACATGTGTTCGCCGACACGACAAATATATTTATTTAGGTTTAAAAAAAACAAATAAAACAATCTATACAAATCGTTATCGACCGATATGAATTACTTATATTGTGATATAGTTTTCAGCCGTATCGCCCAGCCCTACTAACGTCTCACTCAGGCGCATTACATAAACCTAAACTCAGATCCAATGGTTTCAATCTGCAAAAGGAGTTAGCCCCTCCCACCTGTTAACGGAGCCAATGGAGAAAATCCAGACCTTAGTAAGAAATGAAATGAGTACCATGGCGTGGTAAGACCAGGCTACCTTTGATTAAACCTTCAAAGTTCCCTTTCCTACCACTGGGTCCGAGTGTTTCCTCTTTGTCATCTTCTTCTACTGTGTGTATTATGATACAGTATCATAATACTCACAGTATCACAATAATATTGAATTGTGACTCAAAAATCGCATTACCGTCGAATTGTCACATATTCTCCAATTCGCAGCTGTAGTAATAAATCATGAAAACCAGAAAACAGATGCAAAAGTTTTCAGGCTAAACTAAACTAAACTAAACTAAACTAAACTAAACTAAACTAAACTGCAGGTGGAGACAATAATTGCATTATAAGAACCGAAAATGTGCTTGATTATTCTGACTGCTCTATTCCGCGTTGAACCGAACCTAAAAACCTTAACATCTGTTTCTAAAAGTAATATATATTGTAATATAGTAAGTATCATGATTCCATTCTGTGATATATTGCAATTCACATTATTGAGAAGTTCAAATTAAAATGGCTTCATCACAAAAGATTATTGTTTGATTCAATATTTCAATAATTTCCTCTACTGCATCAATTTCACTGTGTGTGTAAAATATATAATATATAATATAATATCTATACTGAGCAGAATTGATAAAATGATTAAATACAAAAAAGTAATAAAGAAAACTAGAAAAAAATCATCAACCAGAGCAGAAACAGAAAGACAAAGACAGCAATAAATACAGTAGATGTACAGTAATAATAATAATAATAATAATAATAATCATAATCATAATAATCATAATAATCATAATAATAATAATAATAATAATAATAATCATAATAATAATAATCATAATAATCATAATCATAATAATAATAATAACCATAATAATCACAATAATAATAATCATAATAATCATACTAATAATAATCATAATCATAATACTAATAATAATATAATCATAATCATAATCATAATAATACTAATAATAATAATAATAATAACAATCATAATAATAATCATAATAATAATAATCATAATCATAATAATAATACATCTGTACTTGTATAGCACTTGTAAAACACTGTTTACAAAGCGCTGCACAGTCAGCATCAAAAACAATGAAACAGTTCTGATAAAACAAAGTTAAAAGAGAACAGTAGAAACAGGAGAACAAAGCAGACGGAGGAGACACCAGAAGAAAGACCCGGTAAAAAGCTGTTTGTGGGTTTTAAGAAGTGATTTAAAAGAGGAGACAGATGGAGCCTTGTCTCCTCGAGCAGGTGGTTCCAAAGCTGAGGAGCCCGGACAGAGAAGGCTCCATCACCCTTTCGTCCGGAGCCTCGACCTCGGAACAGTAGCTTTATGGACACAGAGAGACACATGTGGCAGAACATCAAACAGAGACTCAGGACAGGACACAAGAGAAACAAGAGAACGGATATCCAACTGAAACAGAGAACCACACAACTCACGCAGTGTTGAAAACCAGAGAAAAAGGTGTGTCTTAAAGGTATATTACCCCTTTTAGGCCTAGCGTACATGGACAGAGTAACTGGAGACAACAGTTTCCAGGCGGCTTTTGGCGACTGAGAGCAGATGATGGAGATGATCAGTTGAAATCGGTCAATGTGAGCGCTCTTACAACTGGAGATAAACAGTCGATCTCCGGATTCAGTCAGTTCCCCGTGTTCTACTTTTCGGCAACTAGTTCCGGAGATATCACCGATGTGCTCCAACAATCCAATCCAATCCACTTTATTTATATAGCACATTTAAACAACAGTTACGTTTCCAAAGTGCTGCACAAAAAAGTATAAAATAAATAACAGCTTAGCCTTAGCTTCACCAAGTAAAAAAGAATAAAAATATATAAAACAGATTAAAACCATAAATCAAAATAAGATAAAAACACAGAGGACCACACAACTCACGCAGTGTTAAAAGCCAAAGAGTAAAAGTGGGTCTTAAGACGAGACTTAAAACACTCTACTGTGTGTATTGTGTGTATAGCGCCCTCTACAGTTTATGTCAGAAAACACACTGTAGTTGAGGTCAGCTGCTGTTATTCCCCAGACTGGCCTGATACTGGAGTTGCCCGTTTTCACCAGATTGTCGATATGTGCGGGGCAGGAACTCAAAGGCCACGGATATAATCAGTTGCCAGTCTGACGTCCATCCATCCATCCATTTTCTACCCTTTAATCCATTTCTGGGTCAGGGGGGTGGCAGTCAGAGATGCCACCCAAGTCTCATAGCACCAGCCCCTCACTGACCCTCTGCAGGTGGTGAGTCCACAGGAGGACGGCTGCTCTCTGAGTGTGAGCATAGCCTTGATCTTTCAGTGGGGGCTTTGGGCAAAGTGGGGTTAAGTGTCTTGCCCAAGGACACAACGACAGCAGTCATCAGTGGGAGTCGGTGGAGAAGGTGCAGAGGTGGGAATTGAACCCACAACCTTCTGGGCTTAAGGCCAATGCTCTACCAACTGAGCTACTGTCGCCCCCAGTCTGACGTACGCTAGGCTTAAGACACACCTTTAGTACCCCGCTCCCATCTCTGTGTGGAGTGACAGACAAATGCCCACAATTGTAATCCGCTTTGTGACTCTGGTCTGTGAAACTTACTTACTTTCTAAGGTTAATAAGGTTATTTACAACCGCATGGCTGTGTTTCCGGTGATAAAAAAGCATGTTGTTTTTGCAGAAAGGAGCTCGGTGAGGAACAGTGGGCTCGCTGTAACGTGCGCCCCCAGAAAGCCTGCCACTTTCCTGTCTATGGCCTGAAACCTGGCGCTCGCTACCAGTTCAGAGTCTGCGCCGTGAACCGGGCCGGAGCCGGACGTCCCTCCAAACCCACGGCGCCCGTCCTCACCGCAGACCCCCAGGAAGCCGCCAGGACAATGGGTAAAACGTTCTCGCACTTATTCTCTCTGTCAGAGCGGCGGTGATGGCCCCATAACTCAGGCTGACTGCCGCCGGTGCCACTTTACATGCCCAAAGAGGGAGCAGCAGACGGAAAACAGCTGCTGTGTGTTGATGTGGATCTCATTGCATTCTGCCGGCGGCGCCCATAAAGCTGATAGTGCCGGAGCATTCTAATGGCCGCGCATTAGAGCAAGGCATTGTTCGGCGGATATGACCAGAGACTTATTCCCTTTTTCTTCCATTTTTGATGAAAGGGCCACGGGGACAACAGTGGAGACTTTTAATGGGTTTTTAAGATTATTTGTCGTCGTGACGGGACGACAGTGGCTCAGTGTGTAGAGCGGTGGCCTTTGAGCCAGAAGGTCGTGGGTTAGATCCCACCGTGAGACCTGCTCCACCGACTCCCACTGATGTCTGCTGTCGTTGTGTCCTTGGGCAAGACACTTAAACAAACCCCCCCCCGACCCAGAAATGGATTAAAAGGAAGAAAGTGGATGGATGGATTCCTCAACATGTGAGATAGATACTTTGACACATGTAGGAGAAATGCAGGTTTCCAGTAGCAGCAGAAACACATTCATCCAAACAAACAAAACAAATAATTAGATGATTATAAAAATAGCAACAATAATATTCAAATCCATCAGTCGTTCAGGTCACAGCAGCAGGTGGAGCTCGGTTCAGACCATTTTCTCTGCTCTGGTCCAAAGTAAAATACTAAAGGCTTCATTAGCATTTTTCATAAACTTAGCATTCCTCCAGTGGATTTACACCTGATCCACTTGGTTCAGACCATGAATCCTAAAACCATGAATCCTCTCTGCTCTGGTCTGGACCAGTGTAAAACCATGAATCCTCTCTGCTCTGGTCTGGACACTTAGGACTTGCTGCCGTTTGACTTTATGCAGTTTTGAAGAAAGGTACAACTTCAAAGATGTTTTTAGTTTAAAGACAGATCCATGTAGTAACTTGGACTGACGTAGTGGACTGAGGGAGCCACAACATGAACCTTTTAAACTGATTTTAGTGGAAAAAGGGAATGGTAATGTTGTATAAAAACTTGAATAGATGTTATATATTTTTCACAAGGACAACTTCACAAAGAAAACGGCAGAGTGAGAAAAAGGCCAAACTTTGATGTTTAGAGCGTCACTGCTGTCATCATGCAAAGTATTGTGGTTTTCTCACCGTCTTAACCTGACCCACGTGTAAGCAACAGGCTCGGGAGCAGTTTGGTTTTTATTACTGTCTAAATTAAATATATTTGATTGAACGCACCTCATTAAAAAGACAAGACCGTCCCTCGAAGAAGGACTTTTAGTATTTCAATCTGGGAAGACTCAAAACAGAGACGAATTAGAATTATGTCTATTGTATGGAAGACTATTGGCACCTTAATTCAATTGTCTATTCATTTGTCAAATGGCTATGCATTATGTTATTTTAGTATTTATTTTGTATTTGTATTTGTCAAAGTGTAATGTTATATCCAACTTGTGTTTTTCTCCGCACGGTGCTGACTCGGAGTGTGTCTGAAGATCCAAGTGTGCCCACTGTAGTTAGAAGATATGCCATGTCACTGTCTGAATCAGCTTCACATTAACTGTGACTGGTGACCGACCAAGAGCAGCCCGTTTTTAACAGAGACTCGTCTCTGATTGGCCGAGAGCGGACCAGGGCCCGCCTTCCCAGGGGTCAAGAATTGCATAGCATATTGAATTAAGTTGCACTCAAACCATGTGGCAATGCAATATGCAATGCAATCCAGAGGGAGGTGCTGTTTCACAACACATTAAATGAAACTTAACATACTCAAATGTGGAATACAAGTCAAAATAGGATATAACATGCAATTTTGCCAAATACAACTCTAAACTAAATTCCATGTTAAGAATGAATAGAACAATGAATAAAGAGGTCAAATTTCCATGTCAATATGCTATTCATTTCAAAATCTTGTAATTTGCAATATATAAAGACATTGTATCGACACTTTACATATTGAATTGCCATTAGAACTTTTGGAATAGAACATTAAATGTCAAAATTGGATATAACATTACACTTTGACAAATACAAATACAAAATAAATACTAAAATAACATAATGCATAGCCATTTGACAAATGAATAGACAATTGAATTAAGGTGCCAATAGCCTTCCATACTATTGAGCATGTATGAGTTGTAGCTGTTTTTTAAGGCAATTCTGTGTCCTCCCGACACAGTGGTACAAAGTCAATCAACCGATCAACACAAAGCACCTCACAACCCATATCACATCAAGCATAAGTCGTAAAGAAGTGGGAAGAAGCGAGACCATTGAATTTAACATTAAAATACTAAAATGAACGTATAAAAACCACTAAAATAGACAATTAAAAACATATTTAAAAGCTTGAGCCTTTATTGCATTGGAGACATGAAATTATCAGTAAGATTTTGTGGTTAGGCCCAAGCTGAAATATTGCATGACGCATTTAAGAGGGAATTAAAAAGAGATTATCAGAAGATTTTATTGCGTTGTGAGTAACAGAAAATTGCGTTGCCTCTCGGTGCAAACAGGACAAAAGTAGAGAAAAGAATAAGCTTGAGCTCCCACCTCTGCTGAACACACACACAACCAAGTCATCTGTCCAGTGTCCAGGCCTGCTGCAGTACCAACCGCTCAGACGTGCTTTTAGTTGGACATAAATACAATATGGCTGAAGGAAAGGCCTGGCAGGAGGTAGAGGAGGTGTGTGAGGTCATGGAGACAGATGGGCGATCGTCAGCTGCTGTGGACCATTACAGGACCATAAAGGACGGGCAGAAGGTTGACCAATCTCTATCCCTCTGAAGGACTGCTCTGTTCTATCACCTCTGATAGTGGTCTCTCTCTCTCTCTCTGGTGTCTCTCTATCTCTCTAGTCTCTCTTGCTCTTTCATCCAGAGCCCATCAAATTTTATTCTCTTTTATGTCCCAGTGTGTGGTCAGTGTTCACGGAAGAAGGACAATCACCCTGACCAAAGATGAGATGGTCTCTCTCTGGTCTCTCTCTGTCCTCTATCTCTAGTCTATCTCTAGTCTATCTCTGGTCCCTCTCTCTGGTCTCTCTCTCTGGTCTCCCTCCGGTCTCTCACTTGTCTCTCTCTAGTCTATCTCGGGTCTCTCTCTGTCCTCTCTCTTCTAACATCAGACATCAGCTCTAATAATGTTATCCAGAGCCAATCAAATTTCATTCTCTTCTATGTCCCATTCTCAAAAGACCAAAGATGGTCTCTCTCTGGTCTCTCTCTAGTCTCTCTCTGGTCTCTCTCTCGGTTCTTTCTCTGGTCTCTCTGGTCTCTTGTCTCTCTCTGGTCTTTCCCTCTCTCTCTCTGGTCTCTCTCTCTAGTCTCTCTTTAGTCTCTCTCTGGTCTCTCTCTGGTCTCTCTCTCTAGTCTCTCTTTAGTCTCTCTCTGGTCTCTCTCTGGTCTCTCTCTGGTCTCTCTCTCTCGGTTCTTTCTCTGGTCTTTCTCTGCTCTCTCTCTGGTCTCTCTCTCTAGTCTCTCTCTGGTCTCTCTCTGGTCTCTCTCTGGTCTCTCTCTCTCGGTTCTTTCTCTGGTCTCTCTCTGGTCTTTCTCTGCTCTCTCTCTCTCTAGTCTCTCTCTCTTCTAACATCACCTCTGATAGTGTTATCCAGAGCCCAACAAATGTCATTCTGTTTTCTGTCCCGTCAGAGGTGAGCGTTGACGGAGGCAGGACCATCACCCTCACCAAAGATGAGCTTGAAGGTGACACCTGGTTTTACTGTTTTTATCATGTCCACAATGTAAATCACACACCACAGTCCACACAGGTCCTATTCAAAGGTTAAGCCATTCTCTCTCTATTAACGACACATACATTTGCTAAAAAGGGTAAAATAATCTCTTCCTGTATAAATGTGATTTGGAAGATCAGTCGTTGCAATGGCCCAAGGTGCAGAGAACGCGGTGAAGAGGTTTGATAACCTTGGATCGTTACCGTGCGGCAGATAACGGCAGAATGTGTGTTTCAGGAGGCAACGAATGCACCTCTGGGGAATTCAGATTCTCTTTATCTCATCTTCTGCCAGTCGTTCAGGGTCAAATTGGCTTTTGTATAAAACACTCTGAATCGTGGCTGTTTAATCATAATCCGTTCATTTTAGTGGCTTTCGTGGCGTCTTCGTGGGGATTGCCGGATTTTGCCGGAGCTCCATTGAGAGTGCGTGGTAAATATGATGATTTATGAGGTTACATAAGGAAGTATAAATGGGAAAAAAACATTGTCAGTGGTGGAGAACAGAGCATGTGGAAGCTGCTGTTTGTGGAAGAGAAACGGTTAAATTCAAGTCTGGATATTTTAACATTTTCAAGCAACTGTGGTTAAACCTGAATCCAACACATGCTGAAGCTACTTTTCCACTCAGATGTTTTTGTTATCTGAAGCTGCTAGTCTGGTCTGAGCCGTAATCTCCGGTCCATTAGCATTTCCTACGTGTGCGTCTGGGTCTGATCTGAGAGGCTAAAAAAAAGGCTAAAAAACCTGTAGCTCGGGAGCCACTAGTAGCTCACCACCCCCTTCCAGGTAGCTCGCCAAAGGATTTAGAGATGAACAATTCAAGTAATATAATAAAGTTTCAGATTGTAATGTTCGTTTTCCTTATTTATTATTGTAAATGCACTTACTTTGTGCAGTAGTAAAAAATATGCAATGATTATTAATGAATGTAGCAGATATCAGGCTTATTCTCACCAATGTATCAACACATTTTTCACAGGGCACATTTAAAGGAGTAGCTCTCTGTCTTTATTGTCCCGGGAAAGTAGCTCTCTGGGTGAAAACGGTTGGAGATGGGAGACACCTGCGCTAAGACAAGATCATTTTGCTTTATCCCATCGGCAAATCTTTTTTTAAGGAAGTAAAAATCTGCTCAAATTAAGATTTTTGATCACTTTTTGCATTGTTTTGATAATGCGTCCCATAATGTGTCTGGAAAACAGGTCAACATGGAGCATATCACATTCATGAATGCAGATTATAAAGTCTGGTGTGCTCCTGTTTGGTTGGAATGACATCCTGTGACATCAGTGCTTTAGTGAATCAATCATGTTACAGCAATGTCAATGTCGGCTTTATCTGTATAGCACATTTACAACAACACCTGCTGCTCAAAGTGATTCACAGGCACTAACAAAAATAAATCTTCAATGAAAATCTTAAAATGAACTCTGAACGTCACGGAGCCAGTGAAGTGAAGCCAGCACAGGGGTGATGTGCTCTCTCCTCCACGTCCCAGGGAGCCACAGCAGGGGGTCTCTCATCTATTATGACTGGTGAGCTACTCCCTTGCGTGGGTACAATGAAAATATAGTATACAATAATGAATCATATACAATTAAACCGTTTATAATGGCATTTTTCACATACGGTAAATATTTTGTAGAGGTATGAAATGATTTAAAATTGAAATGGCATGTTGTATTAAATTCCTGAATGCTTAGGGGAGCTACCTGATGGCAGGTGGTGAGCTACTGGTGGGTTGGAGACCATTGTTTTACAGCATGACAGTTTTAGCATAGTTAGATTTGCTTTTTAATTGAACAACTTTAAGAATTCCCTCTATGATTTAGCTTCTGCACTTTCCTCCTCCAGCCCAGACAGAGAGAGCTGACTCAAACCTTTCTCGTTTTGTTCCCTGCCACATTTTTATATTTCATACTTTAGGAGAGGGGAGGTGAGACCTTTCATTGAACTTCTTTGATACCGACTTGGCTCTTGACTCTTGTGTGTGGTGCTCAGGTGAGGTGAAAGTTCCTCTTCCCCCGACTGAAGTGTGCGCCTGTGAAGTGACTGACACGTTTCTGGTGCTGAGCTGGAGAGAACCGGAGCCCAGAGGGAGAGAGGCCCTCACCTACAGAGTGGAGAGGGTAAGACACATGCTCACCTCTCTCTGGTCTCTCTCTGGTCTCCCTCCGGTCTCTCTCTGGTCTCTCTCTCTGGTCTCTCTCTGATCTCTCTCTGGTCTCTCTCTGGTCTCTCTCTGGTCTCTCTCTCTGGTCTCTCTCTGGTCTCTCTCTGGTCTATCTCTGGTCTCCCTCCGGTCTCTCTCTCTGGTCTCTCTCTCTGATCTCTCTCTGGTCTCTCTCTGGTCTCTCTCTGGTCTCTCTCTCTCTGGTCTCTCTCTGATCTCTCTCTGGTCTCTCTCTGGTCTCTCTCTGGTCTCCCTCCGGTCTCTCTCTCTGGTCTCTCTCTCTCTCTGGTCTCTCTCTGGTCTCTCTCTGGTCTCTCTCTGGTCTCTCTCTGGTCTCTCTCTGGTCTATCTCTGATCTCTCTCTGGTCTCTCTCTGGTCTCTCTCTGGTCTCTCTCTGGTCTCTCTCTGGTCTCTCTCTCTGGTCTCTCTCTGGTCTCTCTCTGGTCTCTCTCTGGTCTCTCTCTGGTCTCTCTCTGGTCTCCCTCCGGTCTCTCTCTCTGGTCTCTCTCCGGTCTCTCTCTGGTCTCTCTCTGGTCTCTCTTTGATCTCTCTCTGGTCTCTCTCTGGTCTCTCTCTGATCTCTCTCTGGTCCCTCTCTGGTCTCTCTCTGGTCTCTCTCCGGTCTCTCTCTGGTCTCTCTCTGGTCTCTCTCTGGTCTCTCTCTGGTCTCTCTCTGGTCTCTCTCTGATCTCTCTCTGGTCTCTCTCTGGTCTCTCTCCGGTCTCTCTCTGGTCTGTAGTTTATCTCCACAGTGTGTGAAGTGAAGCCTCTTGGTCCTGAAAAGCTCTGTATAAAACCGATACATTATTAAGAATAAAAGGAGCCGTATTTTTTCTTCTTTTTGGGCAAAACAAGGTCATTAAAATGAACTTGAAAGACTTTGATCCTGCAGGACATTTTTGCAGCTATTTATCCTGAGAATTAAACAAAAACTGCTCCTTTAACATCTTAAATTCCGCCTCCATTTCAGAAACAAGCGGCCATCTTCATAATTCAGAAACTGCCAAAGGAAGTAGGTTTTTATTGGACTTTCATGTGTTGCTCTGGTAATAAAACTGTCAGATGTGTCAAAGGAAAATGAGACGGAGACGTTGAAAGAATCCCTTCAGCGTCGCATTTCAACATCATCCATAATTCACAGTAATATTCTATGGCAAACAGCGGTGATGGTTGGGGATACGGGATTATAGGCACTGTATTCTCACAATTCAAACACAAAATAACCCACAATGTGTCAGCTGCAAAAAGAAAAAAAGAAAATAAAATACAAAATGAAATCAAGACTAAAAATATAAACTTGATAGTACAGGACAGTAGTGAGAGCACACAGACAGTAGTGAGAGCACACAGACAGGACAGTAGTGAGAGCACACAGACAGGACAGTAGTGAGAGCACACAGACAGGACAGTAGTGAGAGCACACAGACAGGACAGTAGTGAGAGCACACAGACAGGACAGTAGTGAGAGCACACAGACAGGACAGTAGTGAGAGCACACAGACAGTAGTGAGAGCACACAGACAGGACAGTAGTGAGAGCACACACAGGACAGTAGTGAGAGCACACAGACAGGACAGTAGTGAGAGCACACAGACAGTAGTGAGAGCACACAGACAGGACAGTAGTGAGAGCACACAGACAGGACAGTAGTGAGAGCACACACAGGACAGTAGTGAGAGCACACACAGGACAGTAGTGAGAGCACACAGACAGTAGTGAGAGCACACAGACAGGACAGTAGTGAGAGCACACAGACAGGACAGTAGTGAGAGCACACACAGGACAGTAGTGAGAGCACACACAGGACAGTAGTGAGAGCACACAGACAGTAGTGAGAGCACACAGACAGGACAGTAGTGAGAGCACACAGACAGGACAGTAGTGAGAGCACACAGACAGGACAGTAGTGAGAGCACACAGACAGGACAGTAGTGAGAGCACACAGACAGTAGTGAGAGCACACAGACAGGACAGTAGTGAGAGCACACACAGGACAGTAGTGAGAGCACACAGACAGTAGTGAGAGCACACAGACAGTAGTGAGAGCACACAGACAGTAGTGAGAGCACACAGACAGGACAGTAGTGAGAGCACACAGACAGGACAGTAGTGAGAGCACACAGACAGGACAGTAGTGAGAGCACACAGACAGGACAGTAGTGAGAGCACACAGACAGTAGTGAGAGCACACAGACAGGACAGTAGTGAGAGCACACACAGGACAGTAGTGAGAGCACACAGACAGGACAGTAGTGAGAGCACACAGACAGTAGTGAGAGCACACAGACAGGACAGTAGTGAGAGCACTCAGACAGGACAGTAGTGAGAGCACACACAGGACAGTAGTGAGAGCACACACAGGACAGTAGTGAGAGCACACAGACAGTAGTGAGAGCACACAGACAGGACAGTAGTGAGAGCACACAGACAGGACAGTAGTGAGAGCACACACAGGACAGTAGTGAGAGCACACAGACAGTAGTGAGAGCACACAGACAGGACAGTAGTGAGAGCACACAGACAGGACAGTAGTGAGAGCACACAGACAGGACAGTAGTGAGAGCACACAGACAGGACAGTAGTGAGAGCACACAGACAGGACAGTAGTGAGAGCACACAGATAGGACAGTAGTGAGAGCACACAGACAGGACAGTAGTGAGAGCACACAGACAGTAGTGAGAGCACACAGACAGGACAGCAGTGAGAGCACACAGACAGTAGTGAGAGCACACAGACAGTAGTGAGAGCACACAGACAGGACAGTAGTGAGAGCACACAGACAGGACAGTAGTGAGAGCACACAGATAGGACAGTAGTGAGAGCACACAGACAGGACAGTAGTGAGAGCACACAGACAGGACAGTAGTGAGAGCACACAGACAGTAGTGCGAGCACACAGACAGGACAGTAGTGAGAGCACACAGACAGTAGTGAGAGCACACAGACAGTAGTGAGAGCACACAGACAGGACAGTAGTGAGAGCACACAGACAGTAGTGAGAGCACACAGACAGGACAGTAGTGAGAGCACACAGACAGGACAGTAGTGAGAGCACACACAGGACAGTAGTGAGAGCACACAGACAGGACAGTAGTGAGAGCACACAGACGGTAGTGAGAGCACACAGACAGGACAGTAGTGAGAGCACACAGACAGGACAGTAGTGAGAGCACACAGACAGGGCAGTAGTGAGAGCACACACAGGACAGTAGTGAGAGCACACAGACAGGACAGTAGTGAGAGCACACAGACAGGACAGTAGTGAGAGCACACAGACAGGACAGTAGTGAGAGCACACAGACAGGACAGTAGTGAGAGCACACAGACAGTAGTGAGAGCACACAGACAGTAGTGAGAGCACACAGACAGGACAGTAGTGAGAGCACACAGACAGGACAGTAGTGAGAGCACACACAGACACAGACAGGACAGTAGTGAGAGCACACAGACAGGACAGTAGTGAGAGCACACAGACAGGACAGTAGTGAGAGCAAACAGACAGGACAGTAGTGAGAGCACACAGACAGGACAGTAGTGAGAGCACACAGACAGTAGTGAGAGCACACAGACAGGACAGTAGTGAGAGCACACAGACAGGACAGTAGTGAGAGCACACAGACAGTAGTGAGAGCACACAGACAGGACAGTAGTGAGAGCACACAGACAGGACAGTAGTGAGAGCACACAGACAGGACAGTAGTGAGAGCACACACAGGACAGTAGTGAGAGCACACACAGGACAGTAGTGAGAGCACACACAGGACAGTAGTGAGAGCACACAGACAGGACAGTAGTGAGAGCACACAGACAGTAGTGAGAGCACACAGACAGGACAGTAGTGAGAGCACACAGACAGGACAGTAGTGAGAGCACACACAGGACAGTAGTGAGAGCACACACAGGACAGTAGTGAGAGCACACAGACAGTAGTGAGAGCAGACAGACAGGACAGTAGTGAGAGCACACAGACAGGACAGTAGTGAGAGCACACAGACAGGACAGTAGTGAGAGCACACAGACAGGACAGTAGTGAGAGCACACACAGGACAGTAGTGAGAGCACACAGACAGTAGTGAGAGCACACAGACAGGACAGTAGTGAGAGCACACAGACAGGACAGTAGTGAGAGCACACAGACAGGACAGTAGTGAGAGCACACAGACAGGACAGTAGTGAGAGCACACAGACAGGACAGTAGTGAGAGCACACAGACAGGACAGTAGTGAGAGCACACAGACAGGACAGTAGTGAGAGCACACAGACAGGACAGTAGTGAGAGCACACAGACAGTAGTGAGAGCACACAGACAGGACAGTAGTGAGAGCACACAGACAGTAGTGAGAGCACACAGACAGGACAGCAGTGAGAGCACACAGACAGTAGTGAGAGCACACAGACAGTAGTGAGAGCACACAGACAGGACAGTAGTGAGAGCACACAGACAGGACAGTAGTGAGAGCACACAGACAGGACAGTAGTGAGAGCACACACAGGACAGTAGTGAGAGCACACAGACAGGACAGTAGTGAGAGCACACAGACGGTAGTGAGAGCACACAGACAGGACAGTAGTGAGAGCACACAGACAGGACAGTAGTGAGAGCACACAGACAGGACAGTAGTGAGAGCGCACAGACAGGACAGTAGTGAGAGCACAAAGACAGTATTGAGAGCACACAGACAGGACAGTAGTGAGAGCACACAGACAGGACAGTAGTGAGAGCACACAGACAGGACAGTAGTGAGAGCACACAGACAGGACAGTAGTGAGAGCAAACAGACAGGACAGTAGTGAGAGCACACAGACAGGACAGTAGTGAGAGCACACAGACAGGACAGTAGTGAGAGCACACAGACAGGACAGTAGTGAGAGCAAACAGACAGGACAGTAGTGAGAGCACACAGACAGGGCAGTAGTGAGAGCACACAGACAGGACAGTAGTGAGAGCACACAGACAGTAGTGAGAGCACACAGACAGGACAGTAGTGAGAGCACACAGACAGGACAGTAGTGAGAGCACACAGACAGGACAGTAGTGAGAGCACACAGACAGGACAGTAGTGAGAGCACACAGACAGGACAGTAGTGAGAGCACACAGACAGGACAGTAGTGAGAGCACACAGACATGACAGTAGTGAGAGCACACAGACAGGACAGTACTGAGAGCACACAGACAGGACAGTAGTGAGAGCACACAGACAGGACAGTAGTGAGAGCACACAGACAGGACAGTAGTGAGAGCACACAGACAGGACAGTAGTGAGAGCACACAGACAGTAGTGAGAGCACACAGACAGGACAGTAGTGAGAGCACACAGACAGTAGTGAGAGCGCACAGACAGTAGTGAGAGCACACAGACAGGACAGTAGTGAGAGCAAACAGACAGTAGTGAGAGCACACAGACAGTAGTGAGAGCACACAGACAGGACAGTAGTGAGAGCACACAGACAGTAGTGAGAGCACACAGACAGGACAGTAGTGAGAGCACACAGACAGTAGTGAGAGCACACAGACAGGACAGTAGTGAGAGCACACAGACAGTAGTGAGAGCACACAGACAGGACAGTAGTGAGAGCACACAGACAGGACAGTAGTGAGAGCACACAGACAGGACAGTAGTGAGAGCACACAGACAGTAGTGAGAGCACACAGACAGTAGTGAGAGCACACAGACAGTAGTGAGAGCACACAGACAGGACAGTAGTGAGAGCACACAGACAGGACAGTAGTGAGAGCACACAGACAGGACAGTAGTGAGAGCATACAGACAGGACAGTAGTGAGAGCACACAGACAGGACAGTAGTGAGAGCACACAGACAGTAGTGAGAGCACACAGACAGGACAGTAGTGAGAGCACACAGACAGGACAGTAGTGAGAGCAGCACACACAGGACAGTAGTGAGAGCACACAGACAGGACAGTAGTGAGAGCACACAGACAGTAGTGAGAGCACACAGACAGGACAGTAGTGAGAGCACACAGACAGGACAGTAGTGAGAGCACACAGACAGG